TGGAGAAGAAACGAGAGCAATATTAATGCAATATTATGGAAACACATTGCAGACTTCGTGGATCATATTCAAGTCGTCTATACGATGTGTGTATGAATGCGTGTCCGGTCAGACACGGCTTTCCGCGTGTCCATCGTCTTCGTATTCTTCGAGGTTGCACCTCATTTCAAGGTGGTAGGAGTGGTCGACAAGTAGGAAGGAGGGATATATCGCTCCGCGAGGCAGCCTGTGGCTCGTGCTAATTCAGTCGAAGTGCGGACTTGGCCAGCAAATCGTTACAAATGACGATCCCGATTAGGTCTCTCTCATGTCTGTTGCTCTATATTATTGTTATTCAATGATTTCAACGTGATCGAGTTCACTTGCGTTTTTCAGTTGAATCACTGGTACAGATCAAACGGAAATACTTCATTGTGCCAATATACATAATTTATGTAATTGAAGAATACATATTTATTTATTAAGAAGAAACTATAAAATAATCCGAGATACTTGTACGATGGGAAATTTTGAAAAGTCAGAAAAGTATCACGTATGTTAGAAATGATAGTCCAAAATAAGAATAAATGAATTAAGTATAAACAAGTATAGAAGTGATAAATATTCGATATTGCGTAGTCTCACACGCTGAAAATAATCCAATCCATTTCGGGAAAACTGAAAATAGATAATTTGGATATATCCATTAAGGTGGTCGTTGAAACAACCAAATCAATTTTTTTTTTTTTGATTTTCTGTGTCCACGACACGACAACTATCGTATAGTTGACCTTAACCCAGTGCGTCTTCATTGACTGGCCGGTACTCTTGAACGTGGCTTTTTCCGAGGCTGGCTCTCGGATTAAATTCGATTGATTCACTAGCTGCACGTTTTTATTTTTTTTTTTTTAGTCTGGTCCAAGGTGGTGAAAAGAATCAAAGTCGTAGTGGTACGGAATTGCGGATGTGCCTGCGTGCTTTCACGTACCTACATCAGCAATAATGGGAGGATGAAGCTTGAGTGACGTAGCCAGGCCAAATTATCGTTACGACTTAATGATCTGTTCATAAAAATTTCTCGTGTGTCGATGTGATAATTGCTTTTTCCTCATAATTTTTCTCATCCGAGAGCTCATTTCGCCGGGTCGAATAGTTGAAATATCCTGAAAAACAGGTAGTTCGACTTTCCAAGACTGGAATAAACAGTTTTCTCCCTTGAAACGAGTTTTCCATACAACTTTCTTCATTCTACGAATCAAAATTTATTCGTATAAAATGAGTGGAAATAGACAATTTCATACGGTATCGATATTGCATTTACTTGAATATCTACTTAAATTTTCATCACAATGATTGGTTTGGTGCCGAAGAATGATTGTAATCAATATTACTATTCATCTTGATAACAATGGGATTACTTAAAGAATAATAAGAAAGCAACAATCGTATCAAATTAAAGAGACGCTTCGATTTGATGGAAGACAAATTTGAACTTTGTTATAATTTTAATGAAGAATCGTAATGGTGATGGGACCTGTGACATTGGTTGCAGATCGCGAAACTAAGGAGCACAGTAATAGCTATGTGGTGACAAGAGCGTCTTTAGAGACGCGAGATCAGGCCGCACAAACCGACATACCTTATGATGCACTTCGAGTAAAACGAGCGGAACAAGTTATACAAGCTCTTTCTATAACCGTACAATATCTGGCCTATGAGGTACGTTATTTTTTATTCCTTTTTTTATTTAATCTTTAATTATTAACACTATATTTATTAAAATCAATTCAATTCGTTTATGTGCTTATTTTTTATTTTAATATTCAGTTGGACGCATTTTCTACACCAAAACTTAAGAAAGATTGCGAGAATATGAAAAAGGAATGGATGTCTTCGTGCGCGGAGATTGAAAAATTGAGGGCTAGAAACCTCGGCATTGAAGATAGACTAGAATCGGAGAGAGAGAGTCATCGGAGAGCCTTGGACCAGCTTCGTGAAGATCGTAAGCCTTGCCAAGAATTATTTGTGTTTCTTTTAGTTTGAGAAAGTGAGAAAGCAATATAATGCATTGTCTACACACATTATAACGTATAATTTTTAAAATTTTGTATTCCTATTATCATTATTATTTATCACGATTCTTTTTTATTTATCAGTAACAATATCGATTATGATATCTATAATTTTATTTTATTATATATGATATGTACAAAATGTATATTTTATATTTTATATATTCTTCGTGCCTAGTATACAATGCATCATATGATAATATTCTCCGGGTAACAAGCGTAATGGACTTAATGTCATAGCGAATAATATAACTTTAAAGTAGAGCAATTGTTAATTAAAATCTGCAAGGCTAATATGCCTACGCGCACCTCGTGCTAAATAATTCAAAGATAGAATTTTCAAAAGTGGACACAGACACGTTTCACAAATGCTCAATTTAGTGCCCACGTAACGTTCATCGTAGTTAATTATAGGTTGGCACGTTCAACGGACCTAATCCGTTCTCTCGTCTTCGAACTTTGTTTTTCTTCCGTTTTTCAATTTATCTCCGATGACGTCAATCATGCTAAGAGAAAAATTTGTCTTTGGTTTTCTCAGTGGAAGCTCGACACGCGGAACAAATCGCCATCTTGGAAGCGGCTCTACAGGAAGAGAGGCGCAAATGCGAAGTCAGATTACGAGATTCGTTAAATGAGACTGCAAAAGAACATCGAGCCGCAATCGTGAAATTGCGGTCGGAACAAGAGGCTGAACTGATACGAAAGGAAGCGGAATTTAAGAGAAGATCTGTCGTTCACGATCAGGGGGCTGCGCTCACGGCCGAAGTTGAATCTTTAAGATCGGTGCTAGAGATTAAAAGTCAAGAAAACGCTACGTTGAGATCGGATCTTGATAATATCAAGCGAGAAATCGAGGACAAAGAAGCTTTACAGCAACGCTTGGACACACTTGAGGCCAGATGCGAAGATTTGAAAGCGCAGATTCAATGCAAAGAAGCTCTCGAGAGGCAAATATCTCATGATAATGAGGTACTTCACGAATCGATTCATCAGATTTCCAAGCAGAATAAACGTTTGGCACAACGTAATGAAGAACTGCAATGGAGGTTGCGTCAAAAAAACGAAGTAGTGACCGTTCTTGCGAATTTGACGCCTAGGCTTTCACGTTCTTTAGGCCCGGAACACGTCGAACAGAGTCTTTCACCCGACAAGAACGGTCCGCAGTCTTCATCTATGGTTAAATTTATGGTACAGAAAGGTGATTCGGTTTCATGGACATTGGAAATCGATGATGAATTTTCAAAGGGAGGATCTGATACATCTTCATTGGCAACACCACCAAAAATGGGTAGATCGGAAACAACTACATCAGTATCTAGACAAGGATCGCTCAGATTAACGCCTAGAAGGCCTTCCGTAGATATGAGAGCAAGATCCAAAAGTATTTCCGTTACGGATTCCACACGAGTAGAGGAATCCACTTGGTCGCCTACATTTAATTCTACACCGATTACTCGACGAAGACCTAGAAGTGATCCATCTTCTTCAGCTTCGTCCACTTCCTCGTCATCCTCTTCTTCTGCAACAGCAGTAACTACAAATTCTGCGGTGGCTGTTGCTGTTGCTGCAGCGGCGGCTGTC